CCCCAAAACCCCAAAACCCCAAAACCCCAAAACCCCAAAACCCCAAAACCCCAATACTTCTTAGTCAGATTGAGTCTTACTTGTTATAAAAAATGTTTGTAAATAGTTAAGTTATTGGTTAATTTGAATGTCTTCCGATAGATAGATTATCGGTTTGGTTCGACAGGAGTAGAGGAATTCTAGTGTTCAGATGAACGATTTGACTCTATTTGGGATAGTCTTTGAGCCATGTCCTCTATGACATCTTCCTTGGTTGGTAGAGCATGGTTACTGTTGGTGTACCATGCAGATTCCTTGATTTCTGCTAGGGTTATCCTACTTTCTGGTTCTGGGGAGAGCATTGTAGTGAGGAGTTCTATGAGCTCATTGGAAGGGAAGTAGTCCTTGATCCTCTTAAAGTGTGCTTTCCAGAAGGCTTCGGGGTTTGTCACAAACAACCTGTAGTGGGGGTCAGTACCTTTAGCATGCATGAAAGGAGGAGATCCTTTGATCAGAATAAATAGCACAATTCCCAATGCAAAGATGTCGAGGGGTTGCGTCATGAACTTTTTCGTATAGTGCATTTCTGGTGCTATATATCCAGAAGTTCCCTTCCTAGATCCGCTGACTTCCATGAACTCAGCAAATCCGAAGTCGGTTAGCTTGATGTCTAAGTTACTGTCTAGCAAAATATTCTCAAGCTTTATATCCCGGTGAGAAATTCCGGTTTTATGGACATTTTCCAAGGATTCGACCAATTGATGGAAGTAGAACAATGCAGTTGGTTCAGAGAATCTGCCTGTTTCAGCCACAATGTCAAATATCTCCCCATGCTCTGCCAATTCGAGAGCAATATAGTATACGTCCATTGATCTGCCATCTGGTAATGTGTATTGGGCATCATCTGAGAAATCAAGCAATTTAATAATATTTTCATGGTTAAGCTCCTTCATGATAGCAACTTCGTTATTAACTTGCTTCTCGAAGGCCTCACTGGCGCCTGATCTCTTCATAATCTTTAAAGCACATTCCATTCCTGTCTCTCAGTGCTGGGCTTTCTTTACTGTAGCATATCCACCCTTTCCAAGGGTTTCTTTGCATATATATGGTCCTCACGTTATCATGTTCTTTGACTGGTGTAAAGTTAAAAATGATTATTAAATAATCCAATAATAGGGAGCTAAGTAGGGGTTTTGGGGTTTTGGGGTTTTGGGGTTTTGGGG